TCAGCAACTTAATCACCAGCAAACTCGCCAGCCTCCTACACCCCTTTGCTGTGTGACCTAGCAGGCGATTGCCACCTCTCCTCCAAAATAAAAGCCTGTTCAGCATGAGCTGAGCTCCATGTGCCCCCCTGTGCCTGCCTGCTCACACCCCTCCCCTGCTGCATGCCACAATTTCAGCAATATGCTTATTTACAAAGCTGTCAGAAAGGGAGCAGAGCTCCTCTTGTCCATTTATACATTTTATTAATTGATAGTACATCCTTCCACAAGGATGTACTATCAATTAATGGTGTTCATTCAAATATCACTCAGACAATGCTGCTCTCTCTCGGCCCACACAGGTGAAGAGGCATTTATTTGCTTTTTTCATGCCCTAAAAATGCTGAGTCAATTAAACCAATCTTCTGTTTCACTTTGTATTCCAACGTGAGAACTGTATTAATAGAGAGCAAGCCATAATGGCAATTTAGTTGCACAAGAAGGTATGAATGCAAAAAAGCACAGTGCAGCATTTACTGGTTCAAAATATCTGTTATCCTGGACAATTGTCACTCCTTCCCATCTGCAATTCTGCTGCTTGGATGTGTGTTGACAAACAAACAATATTCCACCCTCAGATGCACGGCACCACTTGGCAAATGTGGGTGGTTTTCCTTCATATAATAAATATGAGAATAGTTTCCAATGACTCAGCTTTATTACCAGCAAAAAAACAGGACTCTAAAATAGCTCCAGTTTTCATCTATTTAACTCCAAGTTCACAACTTCACAAACAGAATTCATTTAGTAAATAGCATATTTGTCTTGTACACCTTCCCAAATAGAAGCAGCTCTACTGAAAAGTAGCATTGCTCCCTCTTCATATGTTTTCAGTAACTGAAATTATTATGTCTTTTATTCCAGCACTGTTTTAATTAACTTGCTTACTCTTAGAACACACACTCATGCAGTCAGCTACCAAAATTGCATCCTCCCCTCACCTTACTCCACAAGTACCCGTGGGGGAGAGATTTCAGCTCCAGAATTCTGGCTCTAAGATCCTGCTTTGATTTCCTTCCAGACCAAGACCACTACCACCTCCACTGTCCCTAAATCTTGCTCTTGTGAGTCAAAATTCAACATCAACAAGAAAGTTCAATGCCCTCCTTTGCCACAGGAACACCACTACAATATCCCTTCATGCACAAATATAAATGCATCTCACAAAAATTATGTGACTTACATAAAAAAATGAAGGTTTGCATCACATTAGGATAATCACAATGATGAAAAGCATAAAAACCACACTGAAACATTTTGGTTGCTAAAAACTTTGGTTTGGATCATTGATTCCTATCAGCCTGTATTTTTCAGTAGATAATTTATTTTATTCTTAATCTTCACTGAAACTTGATCATAACATCTTCTGGAGTCCAAATCTGATTCAAAGTCAACTCAAATCTATGGAAAACCTGTACAGTTTCTGTAAAGGCCCTTCCAGATAATACCAAGGAGACCCATACAGCATGAATTTCTTGGAGTCTCTGTCCAATAGCCTCTCTCTGTATCACATCCAACTGAAGATCATCACACAATGCCACTCAAAAACAGCAGCTGACTAGCTGGCAATTACTGGCTCTTTCATGCTGAAAATGTATTTGTCCCAGGGGAATAAGGCATCTGCATAATTAGCAAAAGCAGTTACACAGAAAATAATTAGCTTGCTGAAAGCCCAAAGGGGGAAAAACTATAATTTTTGCTTCAAGAGGCTGACTAATTATATGCCAAATAACAAAACAGAGATGCACTGAGAATCATCAAGAAATCCAGCATGGATTTTAACTTCATATTCTAGCTATAAGGGCTGCTGGTAGCCTAGCAACAAGCAGCATACTTGGGCATGCCAAAACCTCCCCCGACTTAATGAAACACCTCAGATTACTATGCAAACCTCCCCCACCCCACCATGCATTTGATTCTTGTGTTACTAAATGATACAAACAAAGCCTAGCCAAAAAAATAATCAAACAATTCAAGATAAACTTAAACAAGCACTAATGGACTACAGTATATAAAGATAAGCCAAAACAAAACATGAATTATTTTCAGAGACTTGAAATTCAGTCTGATTAGAGTTGACTCATTAGATTTCTTCTGTGGTTTAAGAGAATGTCCTATTATTTTAAGCAACTTTTCTAGCAGTCTTTGTAAGATTTGTGTTTGTTTGTGTCTTGGGAACCACTTGATATGACAACTTTAACAAGTTAGAGCAACTCACTAATCTCCAAAGTACTGCTGACATACAGAGAGTGCTGCTGCAATTCCTTCCTTTTACCTGAATCCTCAGTGACCTGGCAGAGGTAACTGCTGTCCCAAACAGTAGTGTCAGAGGCAAGAGACCAGTTTTTACTGTGTTCCACCGCTCTAGAAGCCAGAGCTGCTGCCCCAGCTGCCCAGTAGCACTGTGTTCTGTGGTAAGAGAGGTTTGACAACCACTTTCAAGTCTGGCTGTGATTAGCATAACTCTGGTGCTCAGTTATGAGTGACCTTTCAGCCAACAGCCTGCTCCTGGTTACCCACGAGAGAAGCACATTCACACAGTGACCCACCCAACCACTCTGCCAGGTTCAAAGGGTTAACAAGACTGAGCTATTTCCACTATTTCCCGAGAAAGGCAAATCTTTTGCATGTGCAATATCTATCACCATCCTCCCTGGTGACTCTGACAACTGCTGAAAGTGTCACCTTTGTTCAGAAAGTGTCAGGGACACAAGAAACCTGACAAATTTAGCTTGTCTGTCTTTCACAGGCTACAATAAACTTGTGACTGTGGGTGAAGATAAGGCTCCTTTTGCTGGCTTACACAATCTCAGACAGATAAACTGCAAGTTGCACAGAGCTGTTGACACACAAGATAGGACGAGCATGTAATGCTGTATTTGTGCTGTGCTTGGAGGGCAAGGAGGAAGCAACAACCAAACCTATGGCACTAAGGGAAACTGAACCCTCTCCTCAAACACACACAAAAAATGTTATTAGTAATGTTATCATTACTAACTTCACAAATGAGAACTACTTTAATTCTGCAACTATAGAACAACTTTTTCATTTCTAGGGAAGATGAAAAGGTTCTGGCAGAACAATAGGAGATCCTACACTTTGCTCTCTTTGACCCTTAACACTCCTCCAGCCTCCCTTTTCCCCCAGGCTACTTTTTTGTCTCAATGTTCAAACAGGAGATTCTACTGAGGAGAAATCCTACCCCACACACAGACTCCAGAGACTGCATTCTGCCACAGCCCAAGCAAGAGCAGGGAGACATCAGGAGATCAGGTTAAACAGAGTGCAGAATACAGGAGTACTTGTGTTGGGAGGTACTGAAAGCCTGTCCATGGAGTCAGAAGATGGAGATCATAACATCTCAGGACCTCAATGCACAAAAGGGTAAATCTTTCACTGAAACAGTGACAAAGGGGTATCAAAGAAAAAATAACTTTCAATGAAGCCTAAAAGTAGAAGATCTGATGCTTCAGATGTAGCAATACATCTCAGATCACAAGTCTGCCTCCTAGAAACACCAAACAATAGCAATCTACCTAGTACAATGATGCATCAAATTGCTTTTTCTTTTGTTGAAAGTTCATTCTATTCCACTGCTAGCAAGACAAAAATTCCACCTTAGCCTAGCCAAGCAGAAAGCAAAGAAGTTGAGTCAGCAGTAAATCTGTTTCAGTTTGAGTAGGGGTTTCAGAGAAATCATCTGGAGGCTGGGAACCTAAACAAGTTTGCTAAGGGATTAAATATTTACTTCCCCTCCCGCCTGTTAAAGAAGAACAAGGACATTTGTTTCTCAACTACACTTTTTTACCCCTGTAAGGCTCATCCACCTGGACATACAAAATAGTCCCATATTATGCAAAAGTATAACTTTAACCTATTCCATCACAGAGGAACATGTACTAGGTCACCATCATTCCCAAACATACAAGATAATACATCACATTTCTGAATAATTCAAACTATAATTTCAGGATTTTCAAATCAGTTAATTTTATTGATTCTGCAGGGATGAAGTTTACTGTGTTGTAAAATTGTTATGCAAGAAGAATGGTGGCCAGAAGTGAAAAAGGGTTTTTTCCTATTTAAAAGAGAAAACACCTCTCTGCTCCCTTGACTTTGAAGAGCATGGTGGGAATGGCTGGGACATCACCTCCCCAGCTCCTGGCCCTGCATAGGGTGTGAGTTGATGGGAACACACAGTGCTGAACTCAGATTCTTCATCTGCTCTACTCAACTGGCAGCAGAAAGATGCATTTCCTCACCAAGGATTCTCACAAAAATCTACTGTTAAACAATACTTATTAAATTTATAATACTTGTTAAAATTGTTTCCTCGCTCATAAGCTTATCTGTAAACACAGTAATAAACACTTGTTATTACAGTAAGCAAAATACTAGTCTCAGACAAGACAGACAGAATTAAGGCTCAGATTAAGGGTCTTTGGCTATCAGTCCTAAACATACAAAATATGCAAATTTAGTGTCCTGGTTTTGGACAGATTTGGGAGGAATCCCAGACACTTAGGAACTGAAAAATACAAACAACATGAGCTTTAAACAGAACACTGCTGCATTATTGTGTACACTCTCTGTGCCTTTTAGGGCATTAAACTGAAAAGGCAATTCTTCTCTGAAATTACTATTTAATTCACCTTATGAACAACTTACATGCACATGGACTTGAGAACAGGAGATATATTTTCCTAATGTAACTCAAGAGGAAAAGATAACAATTAATAGCATCACCTTCTCTTCTCAAAACTTAGGTTTCCTTCTCCTGATACTACAAAAAGACAGCAGACAAACTAAACATCCATTTTATTTGTTGCAAAGGCACTGTGTATATTTCTGAACAATCACCGTTCTTGCTTCCCCTAACAGAATGCTTGCTGTATATGCATTTGAATGCCTCCCCAACTGAAAATTGCTAAAAGCACCAAACAGAGAGTACTTCTACTCACCAACTGAAGTCTGGACCATGTTTCCAGATTTTTGGACCTCATCGAATTTTGTAAAAATTACATTCAACCTGTTTGAAAGTTAAAGAAATACACAATGAACAACTGAATTTAAATTTTAGGAATATTAGAATCATAAAATCCCTAAGGCTGGAAAAGACCTCTAAGACCATCGAGTTCAACCTTTAACCCTGCACCACCATGTTTACTACTAAACCATGTCCTCAAATGCCACATCCACATGGCTTCTGAACACTTCCAGGGATGGTGATTCTACCACTTCCCTGGGCAGCCAAGTTCTAACATTTTATGATCTTATAGAACAGATTTGGCTTCACTCAGGTCATTGGGAGAACTGTAAAAAATGTCAGCAGAAAATGTCAATGCAAGGAAGTTATTTTAATATTAAAAAAAACCCAAAAACAACACCAACACACAAAAGTTGAAAGGAAAACCTGAGATATAATTGAAAATACTACATTACTGAAGATGTGATAAGGCTAATTGTTCTAGTTCCAGTTCATCACCACTTTTTCTATATTAACTATTTACAGAAATACCACAAAACACACCCCTAAAAACCAACTTGACACAACATTTGTCTCTGGCCCTGACACCTTCCCATTTATGTCACAGGTCTGGCAGAGCAGAAGATTCTTATCACATCTCATCATTCCTTCCCAGTGAGTTTATTACTTTAAGGCACATTGTGGGAGCAGATGCTTCCACTGGAGAACAAGAGGCAACAACAGTGCTGCCTCCACCTGCATGTGCCCCAACTCCAGAACCACCTCTTCCCTCTGAGCAGTGGCAAGCTGCCATCTTCTCCATCCTCAGGGCTAACCCTGCTCTGCCCTGAGCACTGGAGGCAAGATGCAGAGCAGCTGTCTAATGCACCTGAAACAGCAGAAGCAGAGAGACATGGCTTTGGTTTTGATGTAAGTTTGGTTGCTTTTTGTTTGAGGTTTGGTTGGGGGGGCAGGGGAGGGAAGCTGATTTTTTTTTCTTAAATAAAATATTAAAATGGATTATTTTGTTTGTGAGTTTTTTTGTTTATGACAGCCTAAGTTGCATAAACACAAGCTACTCTGAAGTGTCTCCTCTCTACATATGCAGAACCTACAGGAAAAATATTAATTCCCTTAATCTTGATCAGCACTAAGTAAATCTGAGTGTTTATCAGATTAAAAAATAAAAATAAGAAATGAAACAATGATCCTGGGAGAAGGTTCAGTCATGAGGTTCCTGAAGTCTTCTGAAGGAAGGAAGGGAATAAAAAGCAGCCCAAAAATAGTGAAGACCTAAGGACATTCTCAACTTACCGAGACTGGGGTAATCCTTTTTTACTGAGATCAGCCCTTACACGCTCACCAACATGTCTGTAAATTTCCACAAGGCTGTTTATTGCTGCATCTCGAACCTGGATGTGAGACATAAGAGAAATCAATCATCTTTACAATTTAAATTAATAAAATCCCTAGTAAGTCCTACATTAGAGAACTAAATTTGTCTATTTCTCAGCAACAACAGCTGCCACTATACACATTACCACACAGCTCATAAAGGAGCTTCCAACCCTGCCTTTCACATGTTAACAGTATCAGCAGGTAATTGAATTGGAAAGGCAGTGAAGGTGGAAGATGAAAGGTTTCGTGCAAAAGGAGCTTGGCTGCCTTTGCCAAACTCCTCCCATTGTATACAACAGGTACATTTACTGGATGAAAAAAGGTAGAGACACAAACAGATCTTATATTACTGGGAGATTGTAAAATAAACTGATTTTTAATGCTATCTTAAAAACAGACATTTCTCTGTTGATAATAAAACAGGGAGGAAGGGAGGAGTAATCAATCACCTGAGTCACCATGAATTTTGCATATTTTCCAAACTGATTTGCAAGAAATTGCTGAGCACATCCTTCCTTCCAGCCAACAGAAGAGACATAAATCTGATTAAGTGTCACCTTTCTGTACTTAAAACCTTCCTCCACTAGACACAGCAGGCAGAGAAGGTAAACAAACTATCTGCTCTGCAGAAACACCGACTGTGCACTTCTGCCTCTCAGAGGACGGCCCAGCAGCTACCCCCACATACACCCCAGAACTAGACATGGGATATCCTGAGACACAAGCCAGAATTGCCTGTAGGTGGGAGTCAAAGGGCAGGCACACATACCCTGCCTCCTGGCCAAAGAAAACCCCAACACCTGACTCACACCCACCTCTCCCCGTTCTCCTGCTCCGCAGCCTTCCCACTCAGCAGGTCCCTGCCAGCCTCCAAACCCCTGCTCCACTCATGCCAGCCCTCACTCAGCACTCCTGCCCATCAGCCCCATTTGCCACCAGTGCTGCTGGGCACAGCAGGCTGTGGGGACCCCTCTGGTGCCCCCAGTTTTGGGGTGCACAGACCCCAGCCCAGCCTGAGCACAGCAAGGATTGCCCTGTGTGCACAGCTAAGCAGAGGCACAGCTGCAGGACTGTAAATCCCAAGAGGCAAGGCAAGGAGCCCACAACATTGTACTTGGTTTAGTCTACCACAGCAATAATAAAGCTTTAGTAATTTTATTTTTGAGAAAATGATCAGAGTTTAAGAAGTGTTGTCACACCAGATGCACACTGGGTTACTCAATCACATCAGATGAAAACAACAAAAGCACTATTTTTGAAAAGGGCTCTGATGGAACAGCTTTCACATCCGCAACAAAAGAAAAAAACTGGACTTGACCGGGAACTGTTTCTCTCCTCTCTCCGAGAGAGGGCAGCAGTGACCGAGCCCAGCGAGGCTCCCAGCGCTCAGCAGCAGCTCCAGGGGAGCCCAGGACCAGCCCTGCCCCAGGGCGGACACTGTTTCACCCAGAGCCACTGGCACAGCGATTTCTGTCTGACCAATTCAGGCACAGGCTTTCTGGGGATGAGGCACCAGACCCAGGAGGAAGGGAAAGATCAGCCTTGTTTCCCCCTGCAGTTGGATACAGGACAAGGAGCTGTGGCAGGCACAAGGAAGAGGCAGCACAGAGGAAAAATGTCTCAGTGCCCTCACCATCTTTCCAGTTAATTCAACAGCTCATCTATGGCAGCACCAAGGCACCTGTGTGCTTTAGCCATAAACTCAACATTTCCTTGGAGGGTAACAGCTTGCTTAGTCCCAAGCTGAGAACTACAGAGGACCCTAAACATGAAATTTCTTGGAGTAATGAGCTTACCATCCTGCACTGGCACGAGCAGCAAGGGAAGGCTGCTTCACTCTCAGTCCTCTTAGCAAGGGGAGGCCCTGACAGCCACAGAAATCTGGCCAACTCCCCAGAGCAAACACAAACCCATTCTCCAGCTGGACAGCCCACACCTCCTTCCAGCTGAACACCCTCTCCAGACCTGGATCACAGATGTGTCACCCATGCTGGCAGAACAACCAACAGCATTATTCAAAAACTGCTAGTCCACATTACACAGCAAGTTTGAACACTACTTCTCCACCTCCTTCTTCTCACTAACCCCACATACTTGCACCTAATTCCAAACAAGAAAAAAAGCACTAGGGAGTAACAGATTTTATTCCACTTGTATTTTCATTGGGTAGCACTGCTGATTAAAGGTCCTGGTACAGGTTGTCTTCCCCCCTATTCAGAAACTGCCTGTACAACTTGTGGCAGTGCACATGGCCAGGCTGTCTGACTGACCCCATCTGCCCTCCCTGCCCAGACTGGTTTCTCTCTGAAGGTGAGGAGTGCTGCACTGAGCCCACAGGGATCCCTGCAGCCTCCAAGGCACAGGAGTTCCCTTCCCACAAAGGTTTCCCTTTTCTGTTCATCTCACCTGCAGATTCATGTTGTTCTGCTGAACCCTTGGAGTAACTGATATGCTGGTTTGAACATACTTCAAATTACACCTTTCCAAAACCAGCCAAGGGTTCTGTGTGCACAACATTGTTCAGAGCTCACCACCAGCAGCACAATTAGCTCATTTACCAACAAGGCAAGCAGCACAACCTTTAGATGTGACTCACAGCAAAAGCTCACCTGGCTGTTTGGATCTCCAAGTAAGTTACATATATGTGGCACTATCTTACTCAGTGTTAAACTCTGAGCTCCAGATCTGGGAATAAAGAACAAAAGGCACCATTATGAATCAGAGCAGGCTCATCTACACAACACACAAGGTTTGCAGAAGGTGCTGACTTACGCATTGAGTGTTGCAATAAGGCAGAGGCAAATCCCTTCTCTTGTCCGAAAATTCTTGTGTTTGAATCCTCCCAGCATCCTGTCCCACACGTACTGAGGAAGACAGGAAAGAGAAAAAAATGAGATAGGGTAAGAAACAGATTCTGTCTTCCAGCAGACATACACCACACCACCTCTGGAGCTCAAATACAAGCCTTACACCCATCCAAACAGAACAGGACAAAAAGGAGCAAGATACTTTTAGATCTGACTAATTCTTTGTTTTGTGCTCACTTCACAGTAACTCCCCACTACCTAAAACATACTTACAGAAAGCAAGTACTTTCCAAAAACCTGGAACAATAACTCTTGGCATATACCCATCCCATCCCTGGGAAATCCACTGACATGCTCTCATGTATCCTGTCAGGCAACAGCCTTCCCAAGTGAAGTAAACATCTTAAAACAAGGTCTAGGGAGATGAAGCCATTTCAGACAGAAAAATGGCAGAGAAACCCTTCTGACAGAAAAAAAGGTTTCCTGTTTTTTCACAACCAGTCATTCATCCTCTGGAGGACTGCTGAACATACCTGAGGGTTAGCAGCTTGTTCCATGATTTTCAGCAGCAAGGTCTGATCCTGCTCCCTCACTGAGTCCTTAGAATCTCCCAGCCTATCAAGTAAACTTGGCAGCACTAGGGAAAGAAAATGGGAACATTCAAATACCTCAGGAAAAAAATGTAACAGTGGCAGAGCCCCTCTGCTATTCCCCCAAAGCCCGATGGATGCACCAGCCTCACCGCCCTTCAGCAGAGCATGAAAACCACCAAGAGCCTCCCAAGTGCTCTCCTGGGAACAAAGACAGCTCTGAGTCCAGCAGCCAGTGCAGGTGGTGGCAGTGATGGTGACACTCACACAGAGACTCCTCACCTGTGCCAATCTGGGCCTTGAAGCGATCTTGCAAGCGGGACACCAGCGCAGAGATGATGTCAATCCCCAGGAGAACCACCTGCAAGCACAGAACAGGCAATGAACTAAGAGTGCACTGCAACTGTGATTGCTGCTCAGTGCTAAATTCATGTATATAGATGTGCAAGGTACACAAACCATGTGCATAAACCATTTCAGTATTTGCTGTAACTAGCATTCCTAATTCATTGCAATGATTACAATTATAATTAGAAAATGGTATGCACTAAGAATTGCTTAATTATTTATTGGCAGAAATGAAACCAAACACTTTTATGATGTAACTGGAATTCAAAGAGAGACACCTAGTTTGAGAGAAGCTTCATGACAGGCTGCAGATCAGAAAACCTGCTCTGATTTTAACTAAGCTTACTTACTAAAAAAAGGTACATCACATACTGAATGTACTGTGTAGCCTGTGTGTGAAACACTTCGCAAAACTCTAGAGATCATGATCATGCTGGTACGAGACACTTCTCCCTAAATTTCTGGATAAGCACCGAGGTTAATCACCCCTGGAAGCGTTAGGGACAGGCAGGCTCCTGAGGCGGTGCCACCAGGACTGTTCCAACACAGCCCAGCTCCCTGTACATACCCACAACTGTCCATATATACACAGACAACCAGGGCAGTGGTGGTGGCCCCAAGCCTGCCAGAGGCAAGGATTGCTTGGACAAGGCTCTCAGGCACATCTGGGATTGTTGGGGCTGTCCTGTGCAAGAGCCAGAGCTGCAGCTGATGATTCTTGTGAGTTACTTCCAGCTCAGGATATTCTACGATACTGTCATACATACATGTATTTGCACTTCCGTGTATACACGCACACAGCTGTACTCGTTGTGTACCCGCTGTCCCTCCCGGTACCGGGAGCTCGGTTATCCCCGCAGCCGCGCGTTACCGGAGCCGTGCCCTGCAGTGCCGCAGCCGCTCGGCAGAGGGCGCGCTCCGTCGCCGCTGCCGCCGCGCGGTGGCCCCGCCCCCTATGCAAATCTGCTCCAGTCTGGCGCGGAGCACTCTGGGTAGCGGCGCCGCCGAAGGGCTCGAACCCGGGTCGGAGCCTCCCGGGCGCGCCGGGCCCCGCGCGGTGCGCGCCCCCGAGCCGGGCGTCGGGCAGCGTGCGGGCCGGGGGCGCGCCGCCCCTCGCCGGGACCTGGGCGCGGTTTGCGTTCCCCTACGGGCGGCGCGCCCCAGCGGCCGCCAACCGTCCTTATCTGGGGGTTGCGCGGCTGCTCAATGAGCGTATGGCGAGAGCAGCCCTGCTAACGCCTTAAACAACACAGCAGCGCCCGCTCCGTGCGCGGCGCAATTTTTGGAACCTCGCACCGCGGCGTGTGCGCGGCGCGTTCTGAACAACGCTCGCCTCGAGCTGAACCGAGCATCCCACGGCGCTGAGCGGGACCCGCGTGGGGCTGCGACCTCCGGGCCCCGCTCCCGCCTCCCGGCGCCGCCCCCATTGTCCCTTCCCCCTCCAGGCACAGCGCGGGTCCCAGCGGAGCCCGTGCGGGGCTGCTCTGCGCTGAACCCCGGTGCGCTACTCGCGCAGCAGCGCTCACCCCACAGCCCTCAGCGTGTCACATGGATTCGCTCCAAATTCGGCTCCGAACACCCAGGGAAACAGCCTACTACTCCATGCCAAGTATCCTGTGAAAAAAACCTTCCTAAATACCAGCCCCTGTATCCTAACTTCTCCCAACATACAACTTTACCTTCTCCAAAGATCACCTGCAGTCTTCTCCCCTCACAGTAACAGACCCTTCAACACTGCCAATTTTTAATTCAACAATATTTATTCATACACCAAAGAAGCTTTTTCCTCGTGCTTTTGTTTAGCTGTGTTTCGTTTTCACATTCATCTCGCACACTGGATGTAATCTACCATTGCCAAATGCTCAGCCAGCTGCCCTAAGGGCTATCGCTGCCCGTGTCTGCCGGCTCAGGGGAGCCTCGCCCGCCTGGGGCCCGGCAGCAGAGCCCCAGCAAGAGGGTGGGCTCCAGATCCGCATCAGCGCAGAGAGGCTTTTAGGGAAAGTCAATGGGACTCTGAGTCACCATTCACAGCTGCCTGATCAGAGCCCCATCACGGCAGCATCCTGCACATAGATAAGTGTGCTGCCTGCAATTACAGAGATGTGCCCCAGGGATAAATTCGATCCCGGGAGAGGAAGGAATCCATCTCTTCTCCAAACTGCCCGAAAGCCAGGAAGAGTGAGGGGAACTCATCACTCAAACATGAGAGGAAACACATGCACAGTGCAAACATACCCTGCAGTTCACCCCCAGGAGAAGGCCAGGAGGATGAGCTAAGCCATGCACGATTTTTGCTGTTGTCCTTATAAATTAGCACAATTATTACAGTGGTGCTTGGACAGCTATTGAGGAAACAGCAACTGGGGTGAGCAAATGTTACTCCCAACTATGCTGGATTCATTTATCAACCCCAGTGTGACACCTGCCTCACAAGGTCAGAGGCAGAAAGCAGAAATCATGTATGGATTGACAGAGTCAACAGATCCGCTACAGACAGATAACAGACAACCCAGGGCACGGCTGGCAAATGAACAAAGAATTAATTGAATTCCAGCCCTGGCTGCATTGCACTGAGTGCACTGAAGAGCCCACCCATTCAGTGCTGGAACAGTTACTGAAGCTCTGCCTGAATTAACACACACCAGGGGCCAGGAGGAAGCTCGGGAGCAGCGATGGGCCCTGGCAGCAGCCATCCACTGCCGTGATCCCGATGCAGGCCTCTCCCCAGGGAGCAGCTGGCAGGCACAGCTCCACACCAAGGCACAGGAAGGGCAGCTCTCCAGCCGAAATTCCAGATAATGCTGCAATGCTGATAACTACACAGCTATTCCAGGCCTTGACATCAGCAGAGATCTTTTAGCCTCCTATTTACACGGGTCCCCAAAAGAGTGATCACAGAATCAGAGAGTGACAGCCCTCGGCCTGAGGGTCTGCTCTGCTCATTTGACTCCTGAGGTTCCCCAAGACAGGCAATAAAGCAAGTTGTGCCACCCAGTATTCAGCTCATTTGGCATCTGCTGCTGCTTTGTCTTGTCTCAGAGTACTTTCTGTAGGCACCAAGGGCTGTCAGCAAACCCTTCTCCTGCCTCTCTCCAACTGCCAGGTCATCTCTCCCAGTAAAGAAGTCTCTGGTTAGTTCCCAGGATGCAACACAGCCTTTCCCAATACAGACAGTCCTTTTTTCAGAGGTCAACAAAAACAACTCAAAGCATCTGTCCTTTAATATCTGGGTGGTGCTGAAAGACTTGCAGGCAGCTCCCCATATCAGAGAGCAGAGAGTCCATCATCATCTGCTCCAGCAGTACATGCTCACCAAGCATGGCAGACAAATCCATCCAGTTTAAAACAAGACACACCTAAACACACTCCTATAAAAGGGTAAAGAAGCTGCACAATCCAGCAATATCTGACTGAGCACAAAGAAAGCAGAGTGAATCAGCTTCAGGCCACCCCAATGGCCTGGACAAGCTCAGAGGGGGGAAAGAGACGAGCCCTTGCTTCCACTCACCACACCATGCCACAGCAGGGATGTGGAGGTGGCTGCAGGAACCTTCTCCCCCTCTTTGCAGGGAAACAGCAGTGGGGTGGGCAGTACACCCCCACAAAGTCACTGCACTCTGCCAGCCTCCTGCTGAACCTTCCCTGCCTGACAGCTCGCGACCTAAACGGGAATGCTGGAGAGAGCTTCTACAGCAGCTGTGACACCAGTTTGCTTCATGCTGCTCCAACATGCTGATTGTCACCACTGCTGACACAGCTCAGCTATTTCACTCTGAACTCTGAGAGGTTTTCTTTGGAGAAGGCATGGGAAATGGAAGACAAGACTTCTAAATTTCAATATTAAAAAAAAAAGAATTCTAAGAGTATTCAACCACGTTTTTTTTGAACAGTTGCTTAGCTAATCTGGATTCATAAGCAAAAACATGGAGAAGTGCTTGCATACTTGGAGTAAATTTAATATACTTTTGAAAAAAGTGTAACACTTCAGATTACACACCGAGAAGTCCAAGGCAAGCATAGATGGCTCACATCACTGCTGGTCTGATCAGTGCTGATCAGAGAGGGAGCAGTTCTAATTCCTTGTGACATGAAACATCCACCACAACTGAACTGGGCACTCAAGACCAAGCTGAAGTGAGATGATATTGGCAAATTTAGTTCTGAAGCCAGGTATTTTGGGTCAGCACAGCAGTAACCAAAGTCCTGTCAGAGAAATCTGTAATCAGCTTCTGAAATGCTGTATCCCACCTGCACACGACTATAACCACATCCACTTTGGAATAGTCCATATCCTTCTGCCATTCCAAGAGTTAACACCCATCTTCCAAGGCAGCACCACATCTGCACTGGAAGCATGAGTCCCTCACCCCAGCCCAACAATCCTCACAGAGACACTAAGGTTTTTTGTACAACACAATCTGCAAAACCAACACCAGCAAAGAAAAAGGCAGCAAGAGCAGCACAACTGATTTTACTGGCATGACTGCAAGCTATGGTCAAAGAGCTGAATGGGGGGAAAACTTTAAATCTATATTCTTGAGTTCTTTCTCTAGATTGATGAGATACCATTCATTCTGTCACAGACACCACCTTGAAAATCCTCAAATTCCCTGATGGAATTAGGTGAACTGAAACACCCAATGAAACCACCAGCACTTGTAAAATAAGCACTTGTAAAAACACTGGTTATTGAAAGTTCTTCTTCATTTACAAGCCTGGTAACAGATGAGCAACTCAGTAAAAAATGCATTGTTCTACAGTGAAATAAATTCCAGGAGAACTAAGGTCATTTAAATGTTGGGAGACATTAAGAAAAGGTTGTCAGAAATTATCTCTACAGAGATGTATTTTTTCCACTACTGTTAGGACACAAGGGCACCTTTCATGTGCAAAAGCAAAAAATTCCAGTAACTATCTTCTGGATTCAGTAAAAAAAAAGCCAACAAAGTGCCTCAGTTGTCTCTTGATCTAAAAGCTAGAGATTTGGTAGAACACATGAGAAATTCAAAGCAA